AAATTTTTATATAAAATGTTAAATTGTCACAATTACCTTTACTTTTATTCCTAATTTTTACTACACTTTTTTAAAGTAATACTAAAATGAAACTTATTAATGCGAGTATAATATGACTAGTAGCGGTTTGCACACATCACCTTTGCCCGCTCTACCCTTTGCGGCTTTGTCCTACCATGCCATTGATAGGACATTGAGATCACTGTTATTCACAGCCACCGACACTAAGACGAGAGGCCAACTGTGGATTCCAGCACTCATCTCTACGCAACTCCACCTCTGCCCTCCGCTAGTCTAGCCTCGGCGTCACGCCTCCAACTTTGAACCTCTCACACTCCAGCTTGTTGCATTGTTGCGGTTTGTCTACCTCCAGGAATACAGTCGACGTCCATCCTGGCCTCTAGATCCATGTAAAGTTGTAAGAGCACGAACGACACATCCAAATAGGTATCAGATTCCATGTCTTGTTCTTCTTTTCTGGTTGTGTTTGTTCTCTGTTATGACAATTCTTTTCCGAGCACTAGTGCTCCAGGTTGTTTTGTCTCTCTCAGTGTGGGTAGTTGTTTTGGTGTCCTCGCCAGCTTAATCTGGCATGGATATCTAGCTGCTTTCTTTTGTGCTGCATAGATATTGGTAGAGTTCATCCTCCTCCAAAACTGTTATGTGCTAGGAAGAGTTTTGTGTCAAGGCTAACTTTATTTCAATTTTATTTTTCATATAGTATCACTTATTTTTATTTTATTTCGAGTATGTTTGGTTTGAATATTTTGATTTGTGGAGAGCTTTTGATAGACATCATTTCAATTCTGATGGTTTTAGGCTTAAATTTGCTCGTTTTGTGTCTCGCGAATCAAATTATCTTGTATGAGATGGTTGATTCTATGTCTATTCCTAGAGCTATCGATCAGCTCTGTCATAACTGTCCGGAGGTTGTCTCGTATGATTTCTCGATATCAATATAAAAACTCGCTCTTTTACATTAAAAAAATGACTAATAGTTACTATAGTATTATTTCATAGTCAATTTAAAAAAAATTGAACATAAGTTACTGCTATAGTTACTAGACTTAGAAAATCACATTTTTGTGAACATTTATTTTAATCATATACTTCGTATGTAGTTATTTTAATCATAAGTCAAAAGAAAGCTTATCTCATATGAATATCAGAATATGTATAGTGTATACAAATCAAATGGAACTTCTTCTAGAGATGGAAAGATTATATAAAATGTGCATCATATATATTGAAATGATTGTTCTCTATATATGTAACACCGTCCCCAAATGTATTTACTTTTAAGTGAATAATATTGTATGTAACCTTGTGGGATGGTTAATGAGTTTACAATGTTATGGATTTTTATTAATTATTTTGCGTGAATAGTAAATTCGCACGTGGGGCCCGCACCGGGAGCGGGGGCCGCCCAATATTCCCGGGACTACATAAACTATCCATCTCGGTCTAGATAATATTTATATGGTGGAGGATAACTCATTTGAGCCATGGAAAGGTCCGGAGTTGACCGATTGGTCAAAGAGGCCAAAATACCGGTATTGGCAATTTAACCGATAAAAGCCCGAAATTGAATTTCGGGGACTTATAAATTAAAGTTGGGGTATGAATATTCATCATAAGAGTCTTAATGATGGAGAGCACATAATATATTTTATTTGACCCGATAAAATAAGATATATTTTAAATGGTCCGAAAAATACAACTTTCGGGACAAAGTGTACACTTCTGGACAAAAGGGGTTGACCTCCCACATGGGTGGGGGCCAACCCACGAAATTAGCCATATTTTTTCATGACTTGGCCGGCTGGATGGTGGAAGAGGCATGGGTGATGTGTGTGAAGTGAAAGAAGAAGCATCAAACAAAAAAAAAGGGGACCACATCCACCCCATTTGACCTTTGAGACAAAAGACCATCCCCTCACCCCTCTCTCCCTCATTCCTCTCGGCCAGCACCAACCCCAGCAAGAAAAGAAAATCTCCATCTCCCTTTTCCCATCCTTGAAGAGAGCTCAAGCAATAGAAGTCCAAGGGGAAAGTTTAAAAGAAGAAAAAAGCTAGGAAAAGTGAGAAAGATTAAGGTAATAACCTTATATTAACTTTTCCTTTATTTTTCTTCTACAATATGAGATATATATCATGTGAAGAACATTGAGGATTGTTCCACATGAGTTAAGTGTAGAATGATGGTTGGAAGGGGGTTCTAAGTCCAAAAACGGACCTAGGAGCCAAACCGACAAGTTCACCGGAAAATAATCTTTTAGAGGTTATTTGTATTGATTAAGGTTTTATGATGTTAAAACCTTGTTAGGAACTTGATTAAAGTACTTTGGAGCTTCGCCGGAGTTTCGCCGGAGTTGGTCAAAGTTGGCCGGAGTTGGTCAAAGTTCACCGGAATTAGTCAAAGTTCAACCGCGGAGCATAGAACACGCTTAAGCTCACTTAAGGTGAGGATGACCGACTATATTGCTTATAATTATTGGGTTAATTTCATAAGATTACCTAAATGAACTATATGTGTTTGGCATGATGTATTTATAATAATAAAATGCCTAAATGAGATTTTTATTGTTCATAAGCAAAATGCATAATATACAAATTTATGAATAAATTGTGTATGATTATGTGTTATGAATACAATGGTATAATAGTTGTGTAAACTATAAACTAGATTGTGATAAATATACTTTTACCTCATGTAAGGAAGTCATGGAAGGATAAAAGTGATATTTTGATATTAGAGCCAAGTTATACTTGAATGTGGAATTTAATTGAGATATTCAAATTATTATGAACTTAAGTTACATTTGGAGTAGGCCCTAAGGGTTACTCAAAATGGATGGAACCTAGACTAAGAAGTGGTTTAGGGATTAGTTGACGTGACTATGAGCCGAGCTCTAGCACGTGGTAGTATAACTATGAGCCGAGCTCTAGCAAACGTAGGGTGACTATGAGCCGAGCTCTAGCACAAATTAGTATGACTATGAGCCGAGCTCTAGCAAACGTAAGGTGACTATGAGCCGAGCTCTAGCACAATTTTAGTATGACTATGAGCCGAGCTCTAGCAAATGTAGTGTGACTATGAGCCGAGCTCTAGCACAATTTAGCATGACTATGAGCCGAGCTCTAGCATGAAGGAACATGAGTTAAGTACAAATGAATAATATCTTGGAGTGAGGGTCTTGGAAATTGAAACTTTGATTATACTTAGTATAGTTGTCATTGTACTTGTCAAATGCTTCCAAGTACTGACCTCCCCTTCACGGGGGAGGCCACCTCACAGTTTCAGGTAGGGAGTAGAGCTTGCTACTACCGCTCGTTGCTTCGGGGAATTCAAGGAGGAAGGCGGGGTTCGTACTTCTCCTGTTTCTGTTTTGAAAACAATTTAAATAATGCTCATGGATATTATTTCGAATATTTATTTGGGGGCTTGTATGCCCGTGGTTGCCACGTGTGGCTTGAATATTTGTAATTATGTTTCCGCTGCTTAACTAAATATTTTACGTTATGATTGTTTATGGATGTACTATGTGTGAATGGTATTCAAGACGCCTAGTATAGTATGGATGAGTTGGACTGCGGTTGACTATTCGTACTGTACGGCGGGTTGTTGACGTGTCCGGTAGGTCCGGGGCGTGACAATATATATTGAAATGATTGTTCTCTGGAGTAATAAATGAACAAAAATGATTGTTCTATTAATAAAGTGGGAAATTTTCCAAAATAAAAGTATTGTTTTTCCCTAAATACGAATGAAGTGTTATCATTTTTCAGAAGTATATATTTTATTAATAAAATAGTCCGTATAAAAGAAAATACACAAAAAAGAAAGAAAAGAAAATGAAGAAACGGAAGCAAGCAAAAAATGCAAAACATAAATTCAATCCAGAGCCTCACAAAAAATCCCTCCCTAGACAGATATCCATATTCCTCGGTCAAAATCTCAAAGCTCCAATAATGTACGGAGTCTTGTTGAGATGCTATTCATGATCATTTTGCTTTAACATTTTTTTAATGTTCAAATTATGTTTAGATAAGCAATTATTTCACGTGCGGTGCGGTATAGTTTTGTAACAAATATCCTGATTTGTATTAAACCCCCATTCCATAAGTTCAAACTAACTATATGAAAACCAACCTGCATGGATAACTCAGCTTGTCCAATGATGGAAAATTTGAAAGAATGACTAAGGATCGAAACTCGCAGCAGGCGTGTGGAGGTTACAGCTCTTGCGTGATAGGTGCGCACGGGTATAAGGTCTAACATTATTTGGTTGACTGAGTCACCGTGACTTACTCCTCCACCATTCTGTCAGGTCGGGTGCGAGACTCCTGGGGTGGGAGATTACACCTTTTGGAACCACAAAAACTATATGAAAACCAAATAACACAATAGTGTACTGTTGTCGTTCAGGCAACAACTTCATCATTCCCCTAGATGTCTTCTTCTATTAGACCAAAATTAAAGTCCTTTGACATTTCCAGTAGTCTAATTCTATTTTTTGTTCTAGTTTTATTATCACCTCATTCAAACTTTTATTCACATATATAAGTAGTCATTTTTTCATAATTGAGCTTTAATATAATACTAATTATATTTAAGGAAGTGTTTCCCGTACAAATAAGTTATAAATGGAAAAATACCCAACAAATACATCTCAAAGCCTCCTTATTGCGCCTGATCCTAATGCTAATGATTTATAACAATATAGGGAGTAATATTTTTGCACACTCGATTTCGCCTAAAATATATTTTGCATTGTCCATTACTACCTTCGTCCCTTTTTATTTAGTCATCTTTGACTTTTCCAGTCAAAGGTGATAAACTTTGATCCATTATTTCAACTAATATATTTATATAAAATTTAATTAAATTATACTTTTATGATAGTATTTTTAACAAAGATCATTTTCATATAATTTTTATATTATCAATATTACCGTGTATACATATATAATCGGTCAAAGTTGAACAACTTTGACTTGAAAAAAGTGTTTGGCTAAATAAAAAGGGACGGAGGGAGTCTTATCCAACATTATTCAATTAAGATTGTCTCATTTTAATTTTAGTTCTGTTTCATTAAAACTATCTCATACTAAACTTGGTAACGTTTTGTGATTCTCAATTATTTTATTTTGTGTTAACTTTATTAATTTAATATCAATTACTACTAATATAAATTCTTTTTTTGCTAACCCACCGCCTCCTCGTCTTATAAGTTGTATCCATGCTAGTGGGACGGGCAGTATTATGGAATATATATTTTTTGACTAAAGTATTATGGAATATATTTAAAAATAAAAAAGGAGCCCATGAAAAATGGACCCAAAGCATTACCGCGCCAAATTTCAAAGCTTAAGAAACGAAAAGCAGAGCACTTCCGATTTCGGTAGCTAAATAACAATGGGAGAAGAACAAGTGTTCCCAAACAGCAACGAACTCGTGGTTGCAGAAGCTCTTCTCCTCCTATGCTTCACGCCTCCGTCTCCTTCTCTTCCCAGGTAAAATTTGAGTCCTCTCTCTGATTTCACTTGAGCTTCATTTCAATTCGTTGATGCCAGCATTCATGTTCTGCTTCCTTTTTTAAGCATGATCAAACACGAGAGCTCCTTGCCGTTAATTGATTTAAGCACTGGAACTGTTTGCTTCTCCAATTCAAATTCAAAACCACAATCGTGTGCCTCTACTTTGTCTGATGTGACCTGGGATGGTGATGGCTCATCTGTAGATGCTCAATCACATTCATGTAGGAAGAAGCTTGAGGTAGAGTTCATGTTTTTCTGGAAATTATTGCTGAAGCTCATATTAGTATGCTTATTTCTAATTTGAATCACATGCTCATAATATCTGACACATGCGTGAAGCTACCTGTGAATACGAAATATATTGATTTTCAAATTCAGTAATCCAGAATTTCAAATGTTGGATTACTGACTGTATATACCTACGCTGCAATTTAAAATATGTTTCAGAAATATACTTTGATACAGGTTTTTTCTACTTTTTCTCTGATTGTTGAGACTGAGCTCTGTGACCAACTGACCACACTGGTTAACTTGGTCAGCAAGTTTGTTGGTTTCATTCAAATGGATTTTGTTTGATGATAGATTTCGTAATGGCAATGCTTATGTTATGTGCTTTGAGATCTGTAATCTGTTCTGTTTTTATGATCGATCAGAGCTTGTTATTTCTGAAATCTACTAAATGGCTGATTCAAATGTGAAGGTGGTTCGGAAGAAGAGGTCACTGAGCTTCTGCATTTCTGATGAAGAGAAAATCTGCCCAGTAAAGGAGATGTCAGTGGTAACTAAACCGCTTGCTGCCTCTTCATGCCTGTCAAATGAGTCTGGATCCAGCACCATTTCCAGCGCAGGTAGCCTTGGCAGCGCTAGCATCGTGGGGAAGCAGCGGGACAAGGCAAAACCAGTGATTGAAGTGTTGAAATCAAAGAAAAAGCGGCCAGAGTTGACACACATAAGACGCCGGTCAGAGGCTATCTTGAACATCTTGTCTCATGGATCCGCTTCTGAAGTCAAGATCCGCAAGCTTCTCGGTGATAGCCCTGACACCAGCAAAGCCCTGAGATTGTAATATCTTCTTCTCTATCTCCCCTCTGCCGCTCTTAATTCCCACTTTTTTATTGTAATTGGGAGTATATTACTCTGTGGCACTGTTCTTTTCTACAACCTTTGCTGACTAGGAAATGGTGATGCTCCATATAGAGAACACAAAATTTATTTGTACACAAGATTTGTAAACATTTTGTACAATTGTTCAAAAAAATTATATGTACATCGACAATTGTCACATTGTGTCTGTGTACAAAAATTATACAAATTTTGTGTACAAGTAGAATTGCCCTACAAGGAATAACTGGAACCACTGTTATTTAGCATTGTTATTTAGAAATGTCTAGTAATCGATTGTGAGTCCTGACACATGGTGTATTGTAGGCTGCTCAAGTTGGAAGAAGTGACAAGATCAGGGGCTGGAGGACAAAAAGATCCATATATTTACACAGTAATTTTATCATTCCTCCTAATTTCCTAAATATATGTCTTGAGAGCTTTTTCCTTACAAGTTTACATTTTATTATAAACATAGTGAAACATGATTTTTTATTTCCCTACGATTGCCTCGTTAAACAAAAAATATTACTCCGTAGTCATTTGCTGATTATTTTCATTAGATATATATTCAAATGACACTCCATTTTTCAAGGTTAGTTCATAAATAGTGATTTTAAATAATGCTAGGCGCTCCATAAGTTTATTAGAGTCAAACATGTAGGTTATTAATATGTACGCCAAAAAGAGAGGTCTTAGCTTTAGGGTGGAACTAGGTGGCTATTTATAAAAGAATAGTCATAGAAATGACCACTAATGCTGGTCTGCTGGAGGATGATACCTTATAAAACCGTCACCGTGCTTATAATTGAAAAACAGATCTTCAACATTGGAAAATTGGATTGCAATGAAAATGAATTTGGTAATTTACTTGTTTATATGATTATATCGATATAAAATTATGTGTAGGAATACACCGATACAACGGCAGTGCATCTTTTCAATTTTCCTTTTTTTCTATTTCCAATTGGAAGATTTTCTAAACTAAAAGTCTAAAACAGAAATTTACTCAACTGCTCTAATTCTTTGTACTTTCTTTTTTTGAGTGCAGATAAAGTGAGAATTTAAGCAGACCATCACATAAATTACACCAAATGAGCAAACTTCGGAAAGGGGAATGTTAAATTTTTAATAACTTCATAGATGCATGTGTATAACTCCACTACTTACGGTATAGTGGTATAGTGGACAGATCAATTATTGTGATGCTTTTAACTTGTAAGTATATATAAAGATCAAAGACCTACAAGTACTTCATCAAGTACTACAGTTGGAACATGAATGGAAGCTATATTACTTTTTGAGTTTCAAGTTCCTAATGTCTCCTTGGAATGAGGGATACAGAGGGCGAGATCTCCTGAAACTGAAAACATCCTCAATGTGAACAAAGTTGGGGCCTGCAGACTCACATTTCTCGGCTTTGTACTCTGATGAATGAGAGCTGCCATAGACTCGCACGCTCAATGTCTTTCTCTTAGGAGAATCCACACTGACATACTCATCGAAGAAACCAATCAAGTCCCCTTTGGTCAGTTGCTTCAGTGCTTTAACCTATATTGACAAACAGTAGAGAGCTCTGAGGACTATAATGCATTTATCAGAAGATCTCTATGAACTATAATGTTATGTGTACTGTAACCTTATAGTGATGAAACAGTAGAACCCTGAGTACGATAATGTGTGTAATCTCGGTTACTCGCTTTGTCGAAAAAGTTATTTTTGAACATTTAATTTGTCCCAAAATACATTCTGTTTAATCAACAAACCTAATTTTCTAGTAATCTGTCTGTCTCATTACAGGAGTCCGAAACAAGCTACATATGATAAAATATAGTTAATCAACCAAATCCTTTTTAGAATGAAAATTTCGTATTTGGACCCCATGTTTTCCCCAGTATTTGACTTGCATGTTTTATTTTCTTAGTTTGCACCAAGAACGCCCCAGAGCTAGTAATTTCTATTAGACTTTGCACCCCCATTTGTAAGCCTTTACCCCACATGGATTACTACCTTATTATTTGATTCTTCACCCATCTCGGTTGCTTGGGAATACAAAGTCAAAGAATAATACGAAATGCAAAGTGAAACATTGTGGTCCTTGGGTGCGAATACAAAATTACCTTTTTTAAACAAGTACTAGTATTATTTAAAAATCATGACCGTGTATCGGTGGTCAAAAAAGACTCTTGTTTTTGTTGGTGGGGTGGTGGTGAGAACAACTTATTCACATAAGCATGACTCACATTCACATTTTCCGTAAACATGAGGTTAGGAATCCATTTTAGAGTTTTCCATTGACAGGGCCAGTAAGAACACAGATTCGTACCTCCATTTCTACCCTATTGAACTTATAAGTTCCGCCAGAAATTTCCCACCAGAAATAATCAGTCTCCTCTCCTAGATTCTTAAACTTTTCAAGCTTCACATCAACAAGTGCATTGACTTTGTTCTGCATTATACAAATATTACATCAAATGTTAGTCAACAAGAAATTTTATCCAATGAATCACATGTCACATTCCAAGAAGCCTGTGTGGAATTTCACAATTTTGTCCTTATAATGGAACATGACCATAAGATACAGTATTGCACTGAGGTATCAAGCTAAACTGGAATAGATAAGTAAGCTGACCTTAAATTCATCATTGGACATCTCTGACAGCTTACCCTTGAATGTGGCAAGAAACTCCCTAACTCGGGACTCCACATAGCTAGGATCCTGTCAATAGCATTACATCTGATTACAATACATGGGAAGTATTTTCATGCCAAAGTCGGATAAAAGAAACATGCGGATAGAGAGTAATGGGCATTAAGACTTGAGAGAGATATGGTAGGGAATGGGAACAAAATGCCATGACAACTATTTTTAAAATGTTAAGATTACCTTGGAAAAATACAACGGAAAAATCATATTTGATTAAAACATTTTAAAAGCTTACATATATCTAAATATTCGGCTTTTTATAACAGAAATACATAAATTGATAGTTTTTCAGAAAAAAATTACAACATCCAAGCCTTAATCCCAAAAGATTTTGGGGTTGGCTAACATGAATCGATTTGCACTCAATTCCTCACTGCCATTTTTCAAAAACCATCTAAAATTGATATACATAGTGTGAAACATTCTTTCCCAAGTTTTTTACCAAATTTGCATTCAATTCCTCACTGCCATTTTTCTTTCCTTATCATTTTCTGAGTCCCAAACAAGACCCAAAGAAAAATGATATCCAACAATGGTCATAACCCAAACCAAAACCAAATGTATTTATCGGATGCTAACCTTCATAGTGCAAAAATATGGATGATTATTTGTTTCAGGGACCTCATAATTGAGTAGACTAATAGCAAACACTTGATGGATCACATACCTTAACAGATGATTGGACAATAAATTGCAACCCGCGAACTCCAGAATCATACCTATAGTGAGAAAATCTTAACTTCTTGAGAACTAAGAAAATAAATTGGTGATAGCTATAACACAAATTTCACCTAATGGAAATGATAAAGGGACAAAAATAAAACATTGTCCATATACCTCCGAGAAAGTGAAGTAATGTAACCGAGCTGCTCAACAGACCTCAGTTGGTCAAAGGCCGGTTGCTTTGCTATCAATTCAAAAAGTTGGAGTTTTACATTCAGCTCAAACTCATCAAGGCCAACCTATAAATTCACATTTATTATGCGAAATAATTACAAATTTATAACTAAAATAAAAGGAATCTACAAAAATGTGACCTCTTAAGTGTAGTGTCTATAGTAGTAACTTTGGTCATTGTAATTTATGTTCAATTTTTACACTTGAAATGACAATGACATTATACTCGTAGTAAATTTGCCACTTTGGTCATATTTTTGAAAATAAGTTTTATGCCAGTAATATATTTTAAAAAAATTCAATATTATGCATTAATATTGTGTGTCTATATAAGGTGTGTGTCTAAATATATAAGGTGAGGTTCCAGTAAAAAGAAACTTTTAGGCGAGAAATGAGAATGAATTTCGACCGTTGATTCAACGATAGCGCACTAAAAGAGCTTCATGTTTCATTAAAAGATGCAATCATATGCGATGGCATTTTTGTAAATACTTCTAAAAATCCCCGGTTGCATTTATAAGTGCAACATCGTCGAATCCAACAACTGAGATTCATTCTCATTTCTCAAGTTAGATGCATTTCTCACTTGAAACCATATATATAAATATATATTCTCCACATATATTTATATTGTGTCGACATTATACTGCATTCTTTAAGTGATTGAAAAAATGAATATCCCTCATGTTCAAAGTCAACATATGTGTGTGTACTGTGTATACCAAGTACCAACATAGACTTGCTGGGATTTGCATTATTGTAGTATTTAAGCTTTAGGGGGTGTTTGCAACTGCTTAAAAAAAAGCTCTCCTCGGCTTTTGGCTTTAAAAAGCTAAAATTAGTGTTTTCAAGTTACAACTTCTACTTAAAAAAGTGTTTCTCGACTTTTTCGCAAAAAGTGCTTTTTACTTTTTCTATTACACAAAAAACACTTATTTACCAAACACTTCCAACTTTTACTACTAATCACTTTTTGCAAAATCACTTCCAAAAGTGCTTTTTTTTAAGCAGAAGCAGTTGCAAACACTCCCTTAGTATGTAAAGAGCTAGGCATCTAGAAAAAATCCAATTCATCATAAGTTCATAACAGAGAAATATATTCATCACAATAGAGAACTTGGTAAAATCTGGGCAGACTTAAAATCAATAGAGAACAGATGGTTTTACAAGTGCTAGGGGAATGGAAATATATGCAAGCAAGGTTACATCTGTTGTCCTTATTTAGTGTCAATTTTTTTGAAAATGACTTTGCCTGAGTGGCTGAGCCTTAGACTCTTAGCACCGCGGGATTTAATAAAACGGTGCAGCTAACTAAACTTTTAATTGTCGAAGTCTGTGGCATTGTGTGTATTTATTAGTAAAATACTAAACAAATTAAGTACTAAACATATGCATTTTTACTATACTCCCTCTGTATTTTAGAATTTGCTACACTTTCCATTTTGGGATGTATTTAAAAGTTTGCTACACTTTCCCCTTTCAGTAAGTTTTCCCTTTAAAAATACTCAAATACCCTTACTTTTTCTACTTTTTATCTTCTCTTATCATACTTTTACACTTTATCTCCTACTTTTTCTACATTATTCATTACCCCTACTACTTTCCTACTTAAATAATGTGCCAAAGCCTATTGTAGCAATCTTTAAAATACGGAGGGAGGGAGTATATTTATTTCTCATGTACCTGAATATAATGTGAAAAGGCCGAATTTTCATCACTTGGATTTAGTCCCTCTGTATAGTATAAATACTGTGTGCCTTGTGCAAGATCAATGACTCGGCTTGTCAAATGCTCAGATGCAAACAAAGCCCGGGAGATGGGATGTGGTCCCTTGTAAAGTAAATCTTCAATGCGTTGGATCACTGACTCTGCTTCATTTGATTCAGCATTTCCTGAAAAGTAAATGGTAAGAGTGAACTTATATTAGTGTAAGGCTTTAGAAGAACCTCTAGAAAAGTTCACATTTATTGAATAAACCTGTTACATAGCATTCTAGAAAAGTTCTTGACAGCAGCAAAGGGTAGAATCTAGAGAGACTATCAACATCAAGAGAAGGAAGGACTTGTAGTTCATGATCCCAAGACCAACTTTTCTCCTGCAGTGTCAATGAGCAGTAGTACATTGCTTGTTCGTAAGGCTGTTGGCACTTGATATTTTTGTATTTTCTGGTCATCAATTCCTGCAAGGCATAAAATTGAAGTCCCAAAAGAAATAAACTAAAAAAAATCACTTCACGCTACAAGTTTTAGTTTTCACACTCTATTTCCAACCTGCACTTTTTCAGCTCTTATTGCAACAATTGCTATTTAAAATGGGTCTATTGAAACTCCTTTAGGAACTAAGTCCAGTTGTAATGATGCACCAGCTGCGTGTGAGAGAAGTCATTTTTTAGCCTATGAACGAAACAATCTATTGAAACTCCTTTAGGAACTAAGTCCAGTTGTAATGGTGCACCAGCTGAGTATGAGAGAAGTCATTTTTTAGCATATGAACGAAACAATAAAAGGTAATACTAATGCTTATGGCACCAATTTCATCGGTGTAGCTAGAGCTTCACAATTTTTTAATTTGGGTGGGCCGAAATTTAATTAACTCGTGTAAACTTGTGGTTAGAATTGAGTCTGTGTGGCCAAGCCTCCCAGGTTGCCCCCTAGATATGCCTTGCGCCAATGAAAATGTTTTTTGAGCATGGCACAAAGCAAACAGAAAAAAAAAAAAAACTTTACTACTCCCTCCATCCCGCTAAGATTGTCCCATTTTACCTTTTCGGGAAATCCCACTAAGATTGTCTCATACCAAATTTGGTAAAGTTTGTGTGGCTCTAAACCATTCTTACTTTATTTTTACTTTATCAATTTAATATCAACCACACAAACACACTTTTCTTAATAACCGTCCCACCTTCTCTTGTCCCAATCTTAGTGGGACGGAGGTAGTACATTATAGATCCTAGTCATATGAGACAAGAAAAGTCAGACAACAAATGAAAAAAAATCATTAGTACTACACTGCTACAGATGTTTTTACTATATACAATGCTTTATTACAAAATGCATATAAGTTCACTCAGTAAAAACATTATACGTAGTAACTATTCATGACCTTTGCGCATACAGTTCAGCTACATGAAAGAAGTAAAATTATATCATGTAAATTATTAAACAAAAAGTCACCAACAAGTTCAAGAGGTCTCATGGTGAGAAGAAATGATGACAATTTGAGCGTACCTTTATAACAGAGAATCTATCTGGTTTAACTTCAAAGTTCAGAAGTTTATCAATTACTTTCTCCAGCAACGTTGTCATTTTTTGACTGTATCCACCAACAGATACCTGAAGGAAAGCATAAGAAGCTATGTTTCCAAATGTCTATTTCATTTACAAAGTTTATAGTAGCAAGGCTAAGTTTATTCTTTGAGAAACTGTTTGACGACTACAACAACAACATCCAAGCCTTATTTCCAAAAGATTTTGGGGTCGGCTAACATGAATTGACCCATGACATTATGATAAGAACCTCCAGAAAATATACAGAAAGATCAAGAAACAAAATAGAAAACTATATTGATGAAGAAGATGAAACAATAGCGGTAACAAAGGCCGAAGCCTCCCAATGAGCCGAAGCCCCCCAAGAACGAGAATTAGCTCTCGCTCACCCAAGTCCCAGTCTGAAACGTCTAAACAGCCTACCCACTAATTTCTCCTTCCCGACTATTTATACTATACAATACCTCAAGTACCCTTATTACTAATATTCTTATTACTACTTCTATTATTAGTCTAATTTAAGAGGGTTCCTATCAATACTCCCCCCCTAAACATCCACCTTGCCCTCAAGGTGGGTTATATGACACAGCCACAATCTTCTGCTTCCTCTTCCTCTTCCTAGCGCTTCTACCTTCCCAATATCTAACTGATTTCTGAAAAAGGAGCCTCCAAACTTGATTCTTCCACTGCACAGACTTTACTGCAGCATATAGTATCTTTGATGAATTTTCATTTTCTTCCTTAGTCTTCAGACCCTCAACAGCTACGCATATTTCCTTGTTTTCCTGAGGTGTATCACCTACACCATTAGCAAAACTTCCAGCAGTAGAAGAGATTCGAAGTGATGTTTCCCTCGGTTCAGACACTATCCAGCAGCCCTTAGCAAAATTTACTTCTTCAGTTTCTTTCACCATTGGAGTACCTCTCCATTTCCATAATTCCTGCTTCTTACTTTGGATAATTTTCCTGTTATTAGGATCACCAGAAACTTCTCTAACAATTTTGATGTCATTAATTGGCAAGGATTTCACCCCTGTAGTCCTAATAGCTAGAATTTGCTGATAAGTCTTTGGGGTCAACCTCTGTAAAAACCTTGTGAAGGATTCATAAACCCCAGGAAGTAATAGGTTATGAGTTGTCATTGCAGAAATATCTCCCAACAATAGATAACCTTCATGTACTCTAAATGAATTATGTAAGTCAGGCTTGAGATAGTCTAACATGCTCTCAACCCCTGGCTGTAATTCAGCTTGTTGTAATTCGAGGTGTTGGCCATGGTTATACTTATCAGCAGCATTAATCTGTGTACGGTTTCCCTGGATGATAGCAATTTCACCTGAAACAAGCCCAACCTCCTTCTCCTGAGCCTCTGTACCAGATATATTTTTACCAACACATAATTTTTCTGATAACCTTTCCTTAGGTTGTAAACATAGTTGACTTTTGACAAGAACAGTTTCAGAAACAATTAGGGCTCTATTTCCAAAGGAACATGGCTGAATAAGCTTGTCAGCAATAGAAACTTGGTTGGAAGTTAAATCCACACCCTCTGCAAGATTAGAATAAACATAATCTGGCCCGTGAATATCCTGTCTTTTCTCCTTGATTTCGTCTTTCTTATTCACTTGTTTGATCACAGGTTCAGTTGGTTCCATCTGGGTCTTCTTTGTTGACTTGGAAATTTTTGGCGCTGATTGATAAACTTGTGAACGCGAAGTTCTTGATGACCTCGATGACTCCTGTTTTCGCTGCCTGCTTAACGATGATTCCTGCAAACTGAATGAAGAAGTTCTAGAGTGCGGACTGGAAGAAGTTCTTCGTGCCCTCGAGGATTCTTTCCTTTCTGTCCTTCCTGTCTTCTGCCGGTGTTTAGGTGGAAAATCCTTAACTAAATCTTCCTTTAGAGCCTCCCAACTATCTTCTCTCTTTTGAAAATTCCACCATTGAAACCAGTCATCTGCAGCTTCCCCCATTGCCTTGGCTGCGACGTCCACCTTAAATCTTTCTGCTATAACTTGGACTCGGAAATATCTTTCCATCTTCTCTATCCATTCATAAGCTTCCTCCTCGTAGAATAGAGGTAATTTCTCCTTCTTTGAACTATCCGAATTTCGAGAAGTGACTTTAGATGAAGAATGTGAACTGTGAGAATCCTTTGAGGAAATCTGATGCAGAGAGCGATGATAAGAATGATGAGAAGAACTCTGCGAAGAGCGCTGTGAAGAGCTTGGCGAGGAAACAGTTCGATCGCAAGATTTTCTGCGATGCCTCAAATCTTCGGATTCCTCTGGACTTGCTGAGTGCCGCGGTTGATGGTTGTGAGAAGGGCGATGCGATGTAGATGAGCGAGGTGATGCAGCTGAGGTGTGCGATCTACTTCTTGATCGATCTGTCTTTCGCGAGCGATGATGAGGGTCGCGATGTGATGATTGTGACGCATGCGATCTGTTTCGCGATCGATTCTGAAGTTTGTTTATCATATCCACTAAGCTAGCCTGCATATCTGCCATCATCGTGGTTAACCTATCATTTGTCTCCTTCAACTGTCGGTCCATATTATCAAAACTCCTTTCCAATTGCGGTGTCAAAAATTCCTCCATCATTCAGATTCTCGGTCTCCAGGAAATAGCGGCTCTGATACCAATGATAAGAACCTCCAGAAAATATACAGAAAGATCAAGAAACAAAATAGAAAACTATATTGATGAAGAAGATGAAACAATAGCGGTAACAAAGGCCGAAGCCTCCCAATGAGCCGAAGCCCCCCAAGAACGAGAATTAGCTCTCGCTCACCCAAGTCCCAGTCTGAAACGTCTAAACAGCCTACCCACTAATTTCTCCTTCCCGACTATTTATACTATACAATACCTCAAGTACCCTTATTACTAATATTCTTATTACTACTTCTATTATTAGTCTAATTTAAGAGGGTTCCTATCAATACTCCCCCCCTAAACATCCACCTTGCCCTCAAGGTGGGTTATATGACACAGCCACAATCTTCTGCTTCCTCTTCCTCTTCCTAGCGCTTCTACCTTCCCAATATCTAACTGATTTCTGAAAAAGGAGCCTCCAAACTTGATTCTTCCACTGCACAGACTTTACTGCAGCATATAGTATCTTTGATGAATTTTCATTTTCTTCCTTAGTCTTCAGACCCTCAACAGCTACGCATATTTCCTTGTTTTCCTGAGGTGTATCACCTACACCATTAGCAAAACTTCCAGCAGTAGAAGAGATTCGAAGTGATGTTTCCCTCGGTTCAGACACTATCCAGCAGCCCTTAGCAAAATTTACTTCTTCAGTTTCTTTCACCATTGGAGTACCTCTCCATTTCCATAATTCCTGCTTCTTACTTTGGATAATTTTCCTGTTATTAGGATCACCAGAAACTTCTCTAACAATTTTGATGTCATTAATTGGCAAGGATTTCACCCCTGTAGTCCTAATAGCTAGAATTTGCTGATAAGTCTTTGGGGTCAACCTCTGTAAAAACCTTGTGAAGGATTCATAAACCCCAGGAAGTAATAGGTTATGAGTTGTCATTGCAGAAATATCTCCCAACAATAGATAACCTTCATGTACTCTAAATGAATTATGTAAGTCAGGCTTGAGATAGTCTAACATGCTCTCAACCCCTGGCTGTAATTCAGCTTGTTGTAATTCGAGGTGTTGGCCATGGTTATACTTATCAGCAGCATTAATCTGTGTACGGTTTCCCTGGATGATAGCAATTTCACCTGAAACAAGCCCAACCTCCTTCTCCTGAGCCTCTGTACCAGATATATTTTTACCAACACATAATTTTTCTGATAACCTTTCCTTAGGTTGTAAACATAGTTGACTTTTGACAAGAACAGTTTCAGAAACAATTAGGGCTCTATTTCCAAAGGAACATGGCTGAATAAGCTTGTCAGCAATAGAAACTTGGTTGGAAGTTAAATCCACACCCTCTGCAAGATTAGAATAAACATAATCTGGCCCGTGAATATCCTGTCTTTTCTCCTTGATTTCGTCTTTCTTATTCACTTGTTTGATCACAGGTTCAGTTGGTTCCATCTGGGTCTTCTTTGTTGACTTGGAAATTTTTGGCGCTGATTGATAAACTTGTGAACGCGAAGTTCTTGATGACCTCGATGACTCCTGTTTTCGCTGCCTGCTTAACGATGATTCCTGCAAACTGAATGAAGAAGTTCTAGAGTGCGGACTGGAAGAAGTTCTTCGTGCCCTCGAGGATTCTTTCCTTTCTGTCCTTCCTGTCTTCTGCCGGTGTTTAGGTGGAAAATCCTTAACTAAATCTTCCTTTAGAGCCTCCCAACTATCTTCTCTCTTTTGAAAATTCCACCATTGAAACCAGTCATCTGCAGCTTCCCCCATTGCCTTGGCTGCGACGTCCACCTTAAATCTTTCTGCTATAACTTGGACTCGGAAATATCTTTCCATCTTCTCTATCCATTCATAAGCTTCCTCCTCGTAGAATAGAGGTAATTTCTCCTTCTTTGAACTATCCGAATTTCGAGAAGTGACTTTAGATGAAGAATGTGAACTGTGAGAATCCTTTGAGGAAATCTGATGCAGAGAGCGATGATAAGAATGATGAGAAGAACTCTGCGAAGAGCGCTGTGAAGAGCTTGGCGAGGAAACAGTTCGATCGCAAGATTTTCTGCGATGCCTCAAATCTTCGGATTCCTCTGGACTTGCTGAGTGCCGCGGTTGATGGTTGTGAGAAGGGCGATGCGATGTAGATGAGCGAGGTGATGCAGCTGAGGTGTGCGATCTACTTCTTGATCGATCTGTCTTTCGCGAGCGATGATGAGGGTCGCGATGTGATGATTGTGACGCATGCGATCTGTTTCGCGATCGATTCTGAAGTTTGTTTATCATATCCACTAAGCTAGCCTGCATATCTGCCATCATCGTGGTTAACCTATCATTTGTCTCCTTCAACTGTCGGTCCATATTATCAAAACTCCTTTCCAATTGCGGTGTCAAAAATTCCTCCATCATTCAGATTCTCGGTCTCCAGGAAATAGCGGCTCTGATACCAATGATAAGAACCTCCAGAA